TGCTCGTCTCATCCTCCGCTCAGTTCATAATTCGATTCGATTTGAGTAGGTGCTTCTTCTACTTCAGCGCAGCGCGAGATCCATCTGAGCCGAGGTGAGCTTAGCTGCCCCCATTGGACTGAACTTCAGGGGGAGATATGGACAATACTCAATTCGCCATGGTAATTCCCATTTACACAAGTTGCGCAGAGAAATCTAATTATGTTTCTACCTGCTGTGTGTGATAGAGTATCCTTACCTACATGCTTTTTTTTCTTTGCTTCCGGTGGAGCAGATTGAGGAGCTGGCCTCGCTCATCAAGGACAACCTCTACAGCAAGCACCTCGTCCTCTCCACCGAGGAGACACTCGTCACTCTGCTGCAGCAACAGTACCACGATGGCGACGATGACGAGGAACATGACCGCGCCGTGACCGAAACGCGTCACAGGGCAGCTATGAATACCATAGAGCTCCAGCCCACCAGCTCCTACAACCGCCTCCTTTTGCATCGTCTCGCCGACATATATGGGTATAAAAAACCTCCCTGACATGCTAGAGTCACTGCAGCGACCGCTCCGTTGCTAACTTCTATCTGCTTTTGTGTCGCTGCTAGGTTCGCTCACGAATCTGTTGGCGAGGGGGAGGATCGACATTTGGTTCTCCAGCGCTGCCCTGAGACAGCAATGTATGTCGCCGGGCTCCCTTCTTGAAACCTTTCTTGTCTGGCTCGATTCAGCAACGTTGTACATGTCTACACCATGCCAAAATAGTACTAGTGTGTTTCAAGCAGGGTGTCTCACTACCAGTACCAATGTTATCCTTTTCCCTCCTATATATTTAACTCGCTGCACATTGGTGGTTGGCTAAATTCAGAGCTGTTATTATGTTTGCCCTGTTTTGAATCTAGTTATGTTATATGTTTCAGCCCTCCCGTCCTTGTCAGCGATGTGTTGTGGAATTATGACGACAGCGATGGTCCTTCAGCCTCTCTTATGCTAGCGAGAAATGAGACAGGTGAGTCATTCTTCATGTGTTTATTGTTCTATCATGTAATGACCAGGCAGACGCTTGTTTGAAACAAATAGTTTGAGGCTACTTCCTGAGAAGAAAAGCGGGCTTTACTTAGGAAGTAAAGAGTGGCCGGTCCTTTGCTATGGTCAAATAGTCAAATCTATTCATAGCGTTACCTTCAGAAACTCTAAACACATCATTAGCAAAAAGATTTTCCCTACATGTATGAATATGATCTCTCATCTCACGCAATCCTCTGTCTTACAAGTTTATGCTTACTGCGTTTGAAATTTGTGAAGATATTCGAGGGTAGGACTGATCAATGCAAAGCTTCTAGCAGTTCCAGTTTATTTTTCAGCTCTTGCACAGTGTAGCTTGTGACCTGCATTTAGCTATTTTGGGTCAGCCCTCCTGCTGGCCACTAGCTGTACATAACTTGTTTTCCTTCATTAAGTAATTAGGCAGACCTCATGCATGTCTGTTTAAAACACTAGCTTGTAATAATTGCTATTTGATACTACCTTCTAACAGATCTTCAGAGAACTCATGAACCAGAAGATGTCCAAGACGCTATTTCTCTTGAAAGCTTGCATCTGAAAACTGATACACTAGTTTCGAAGCCTTTGCCGCAGTTGGTGCCACCTTCAGCAGCATCGCTTAAGGAGAGGGAAGCTGCTTATCGGGCTGCTCGTGAGCGAATCTTCTCTTCACATGAAGCCAAGGGAAACGACACATCAGCAGCAAAATCTAGGCATGTTCCTGCTGTTGCTCAACGGATGATCGCACACGCACTTGGTAAGAGAGTTGAAGATCCAACAGAGAGAGCTGCCTTGGAGACAGTCAAAGGGAAGGAACAGCTGGTAAATGGACGAACTAGTCCCACGAGTAAAGAAGCAGTTAAACACAACTCAAGCTCACCTGGTGGTGGTCCGCATCGGAACCCATCTACTCGAAGCCGTCCTACACCTACTGCTAGCGCCGAGACGCTGAAGAAAGAGCAGACTGGAGCGGCTAAAAGGATGTTTGCACATGCGTTGCGGCTCCCCGGTGTTGAAATACCCAATGGCGCAGCACGAAAACCCAAGTAAGAAGGGCTAGCTGGAGATGAATGAAATTCCGAGAATGCATGGGCCTTGGGGTTGCCTTGACTGCCGTGCCCCGCGCGATGGAGCTGGAAGCCCTTGCGGTGCCAGCCTGCTCTTATGGAGTGCCACTTGTGATGGATGTTAGAAGCAGATGAAAGGGTTGGCTGTTGAAGTCAGTCGGTGTGAGACAATGCACCGTAACCTTTTTTTGCCTCCCTTGACTAGAGTTGATTCGAAGAAAACCCGAGGGCGCGCGGCGAGAAGGCTGAATCCAGAGTGGCCGTTCCCTGTTACGTAGAATTGTGCTAGTAAGTACGTACGTAGTAGCGTTGGTTGCTTGCCAACAGAAAGAAATGTTCTTGTTAGCGCCTACCCCATTCTAGCAAGTGTTTTTGGCTCTTCAACCTTCTGTGTCGTTCGTAGCTTATATACAACCACTTAGTGTATTGCACTATCTCAGTTTGGTTTTGAAGGGCTTGGTTCCCAAACAAAGTTTTATGGTTGGTCCGTTGGTGCATGATATTCATTCTGAAATCCTCTACGGCACACAGTAACATCATGTTGGCATCTTCTGCTGCAACACCTGCGTTCAGATTATTGGCGATGGCGATTGAGACAATTGCATATTTTTGAAAGGATAGCTTTTTTTTTTTGAAATGTGAAAAAGATAGACTTGATTGTATGAAGTCTTACTTTTCAATTGAATGTCACCGACCCATCACATGGAGTTTGACGCCGTCTGCAGATTAGTCAACAAAATAATATTGTGTTGGACATGGATCTAAGCTTAGGATAAAGCAAGTAGTGATGCTTAAAGCCTAACTCTCATATGTAATAGGCAAGTGCCCACATCAATCAGCACACACATCAAAACGTGGAGTAATGTGCAATGTAACAGTAGCCTTTAAACTTTCTTTTTGAGGGAAACAGTAGCCTTTAAACTTATACAGGGGACCATGCTTTCTTGAGGGGCGGAGCTAGGATTTGGGC